GGGAAACTGAGGCTGCTGGGAAAGAGACTGAAGAGGAGTTGGAGCCCAGGTGAGTGTGCGTGGCAGGGAGGGGAGGGTGCCTACCAGTCATCTGGGTCCTGTCCCTGACAACCACCTCTCCCTACTCCTAGGCTCCTCATAGATGAGGCCCCTGAGGAGAGGCTCAGTGAGGCTGAGGTGAGTATTGAGTGACGGAGTGAACTAATAAAGGAACATACAGTGGAGCAGAGGTGGGATGTGTTGGGAAAGAGACCCAGCCTGAGAATCCAGAGACCCTGGTCTGTCACCCTCTTCTGTCAAATGGGAGTATGGACCCCTAAGAAAATCTCTAAATCTGGCTATTAGAGGCCGAGTAGCAACTGAGCAGGTCGAGGTCCAGGACTCAGAAACTACTGGCTCCCACTGCTGGGACCCTGGGAGTCAGGCGGGGCAGGCACTGAAGGGTGAAGGGGTGTGGAGTACAGGTCCAACTGGTCCTGCCGCTGGTTGCCAGCCCTGCCCCGATGGCTGTGCTAACCTAAAGCGGGGGCAACCTTAGCTGGAGCCTCTGACCTGTGACCCCATCATAACCTTTTAACCTTTCATCACTAGTCCCCACTGTGACCTCTACCCCTTCTTTTAGGGACCCGATTTCCCCTCACCATATGTCCCCCCAAAGGCTTCAGATCATGAAGAGGAGCCCCAGCCCCAGGAAGGTAAGTGGGAGGATGTGTTGGGGAGCAGAGAGGTTGCGGGGATCAGAGGCAATTCTAAGCGTTTCCAGCCACCAGTGTTGACCTTCCTCCACCTGCGCTGGGGGGAGGGGGTGGCGTGTGGTCTCTAAGGACGACCCCGGGGCAGCACTGGGGCCCCAATCTTCAGGTCAGGGGGGTGGTAAACTAGTCCCTACAAATTTGCTCGGGACGGGCTCGGAGAGGCCCGTTCAGCAGCTAGTGCCCCACCCCAGCCCCTGGCCCCGGGGGTACACAGGCTTACGAGGACGAGGCGGACCCAGAGCCGGAGCCCGGCGCTCGGGAAGAGGAGGAGCCGCAGCCCCGCTCAGCCCAGGTAGGCGGGAGCGGCCCGCGGCTGCTCTCAAGACCCGGAGCGGATTCCGGGCCGGGAGCGAGCCGTCCGGGACGGAGCGCCGTCGGGGAAGGGGCTGGAAAAAGCGGGGCGCCCGCGTCACTTTCCCCCTCCCCAGATCCAGGCGGCGACCGAGATCCTGGAGAACGGGGAGGAAGCCCCGGGGCCCGGACTCTCACTCGACCGCATGCTCAGCAGCAGCTCCTCCGTGTCCAGCCTCAACTCCTCCACGGTGAGGGGAGAGAGAGGGGAGGGCGCCCCCCTCCCCACAGCCTGACACTTAGCCCCTACCCGACCTCTCCCTCGCCCCGGGACCTGACACTCCAGCCCCTAGGCAAGCTACCTCGCAGTGCCCTTTACCTCACCTCACTTTGCCCCCATAACCCCCATCTGAACCTTCCACGCTCCGGGGCTACGACGTGAGCTTGCCCCCCGCCCTGACCTCCTCTCCCCGCCCCCAGCTGAGCGGCAGCCTGCTGAGCCTGTCGGGGGAGGCGGAGGCGGGTGCGGTGCAGGTGCGAGGCTCCGTACAGTTCTCGCTGCTCTACGAGCCGAACGCCGCCGAGCTGCGCGTGCAAGTGATCCAATGCCAGGGCCTC